TTAACGCTAAATATCTCGGTTCGCGAGGCAGAGCGACACTTTTTTCTGCCAGATTCTTTGGTTTCATGCAAAAACGCGTCGAATGAGCCTAATTTTATCGAAATCGGAGGTGAGGGAGGTATTCTGAATAATTACCTTAATATTCTAAATATTTTGTAATTATATACTGTTCATTACATAGTTAATTGGGTAATTATTTAGAGTAACCTCTTCCTCCCTCACCTCAAATCTTTATAAAAATACACTCATTCGACGTGTTTTAATTCAAACCGAAAGAGTCTAGCAAAAAAAACGTGGTGGTCGGCCACGTGATTCAAGTTATTAATCATTAAAGTTGGAGACTTTAGAGATTATTCTAAATAATTACCGTTAATTCTTTATATATATACAAGTGAGTACAAAAAGTATTTGTACAGAGAAAATATTTTCTTAAAAAACTTTATTTTTAAAAAGTAAATATTATCCAGCGAGAAATGAGTCATCAAATTGATGTTGAATCAATATACATTCAATAATTTTAACACCAGTTTGACGTAGATTCGACATTTAATTATCGATTATTTCTTGTTGAATAATTAACAATTTATTCATAAAGAATAAAATAGAACTGTATGTTTCTTAAAATTATGTATACCAAAATGATATGTATTAATTATACAAAATATATCATCCGAAAAATAAGCAAAAATTAAGAATTATATTGTTTGAATGCTCAAAAAGTATTTGTACAGATGAGAAATTTAGCTTCTAAAATCAGGAATACATGCTAAGCTCGTTTGTTTATATTAGAACAGAATGCATTCATTGTATAAAATTGCTAATTAATGTTTATTTTGTACAAATAAGGTTTTTTTTATAACAAATTTCCTTGTACGAATACTTTTTGCTCTCATTATACATATATAATTTTGATATCTCCTATCTAGACAACTATTAAGTCTAACAAGTAGAAAAAAAATATGTTACTTATTGTTCTAATATAATAAATTTTTGGTTTACAATAAAAGTGAAATAATGTGAAACTTAAAATTTACAGATTTAAAAATGGAAGATATCAAAAATAATTCTGATACTATAGAAACGACAAATAATATTTCGGATACTGCATCTACAATGCAAGACGTATCTACAGACGAAAGGAAGATACCATGTATCATTGTACTTGGGATGGCTGGTGTTGGAAAAACATCATTTGTCTCTAGACTTGTTTCTAAATTGTATAATAAAGGAAAGCCATATGTCGTTAATTTAGATCCTGCATGTAAAGAAGTTTCATATCCTGCTAATATAGGTACAAATAAGCTCACATTTAATATGACTGAGGGCCGGGGAGAGAATAAATTAATATTATTCAGGCCCGGTTGTTCCACCTTTTGGTAAATTTTACCTGTGAGGTAAATCTGGTAATCCGCGTATGTGATTGGGTAATTTTGCTACTTATCCAATGGGTAAAATTTATCAAAAGGTTGAACAACCGGGCCTGAATAATATTAATTTATTCTCTCCTCAGTTCTATTGCCCATAACCAAGCGTGATGACTTCTCTCATATAACTGTGGTGCACACGCTAGTTGTACACAGTCATAAGAGACCTACAATTTAACGTTGATTTCGAACGGCAATTTTTGTTTAGAGAAGTACTTGGCAAGGATACTCTCGGTGGTTTGCCATTGCCTGCCAAGAGAAGCTACGAGTGTATATAGTATACTATATTAAGAGGCCAATTCTGTAACTCTTAACGACAGTCGTTGATGTCATTGCACAGATATTATGTAGAGTAAAAAAGTTGCGCAATGACATCAATAATGTCGTTAAGAGTTACAGAATCGGCCCCTAAATATAAATTTATATATAATTTTGATTAACATCATTATCGTTATTATTATTATTATTATTGCATTATCATTTGCTTTAAACAGAGCTATGTTCTTTTTCAGATGTAAGGGACACTGTAAATTACAAAGAAGTGATGAAACAATATAACTTGGGCCCAAATGGTGGTATAGTGACAAGTTTAAATCTTTTTACCACAAAGTTTCATCAGGTTATTGAACTTATTAACAAAGCTAATAAAGAGTACAATTATGTGATTTTTGACACACCAGGACAAATTGAGGTGTTTACATGGTCAGCTAGTGGCTCGATTATAACAGAAGCATTAGCATCTGAATTTCCAACTATTATCGTATATGTGGTAGACACTGTGAGAAGCATTAATCCTATTACGTTCATGTCCAATATGTTATACGCTTGTTCTATACTTTATAAAACTAAGTTACCTTTTATTGTAGTTATGAATAAGGTAATTAGATCTTTTCCTAACTATTTAATGCAAGTATGTTTCAACAATTTAGATACAATCATTTCAATAATGCATCACTAATATGTTTTAGATTGATATTGTTGAACATAGTTATGCAATTGACTGGATGCATGATTTTGAAGCCTTCCAAGAAGCACTCGACAAGGAAAGTGGTTACATTAACAATCTTACACGGAGCATGGCACTTGCACTAGATGAGTTTTATAGTCATTTGCAATGTTGTGGCGTTTCTGCGAAAACGGGTGCCGGAATTGATGAATTTCTGGAGCTTGTTGAAGCTGCCATAAAGGAATATGAAACGTAAGAACTATTATTTTAAAAATATGCAAATTGCTACATAGTAATGGTGCAGCATATAATTATTTATGTGTACACACACACACACACACACACACACACACACACACACACACACACACACACACATTATATAATATATATATCTTATGAGTTCCCAAAACAGATTGTTATTTCCTTCACTCTCCATTACAAACTTCTATGTAGAAAAATCTATGCTTATAACATTTAATTTCCCAATAATCCTCTTATAAAAACTAAGGCATACATAAGGTTTGTTTGCATTGCATGTTTCAACATGGTACAACATGCTTCTACTACAGCACCTACTTGCACCAACGCGCTTGTTAGAGTGAGTAGAATGTATAGTAAGAGCATGTTGGAGCATGCGATGCGAACACACACACACACACACAAATCTTATATATGCCTCAGTTTTAATAAGATTATTACTGAAAAATTAAATGTTATGAACAAACCTATAGGATGACAGATTCGAACTTAGGAATCATCAATAACGTGCAAAGATTGCTCTTATATGGAGCAATGTGTCAGTCTACATAAATTATACTTATTATTTGTGATATTTATATTGTTTTATTTTTAAAGGAGTTACAAAAAAGATTGGGAAAAATTTAAGATGGAGAGAGAAGCTCAACGAAAAAAGGCAAAAAAGGAACAATTAGAAAAAGCTAGTAAAAAGGCAATGGGAGAAGTTGTGTCTTTTGTAACAACGGTTAATAGTGGTCGCGACACTCCGGAAATCTATTTGAGACACGCATGCAATGAATCAAGCGAAGACGAAGACGGAACAGAAAACAATTTCGAGGAAAATGAAGATGAAAAGGAGAAAAATGAAGAGTCGTTTAGAAATTTCTTAGAGAGACATAGAATAGAACAAGCTAAACGCAAGAATAATCAGGAATTCGAACCTAATACAAGTAAAAATTGATAATCACAATGTATTTTTATAATTTCTTCGTAAATAAATTATTTAACAAAAAAATATTGTTTTAATTTCCGTAAAACGTTTTAATTAAAAAAAATTGCTTACCTCATTTCTTATTGTAAAACAAATAATATCTTTGAATTAAACTTTAATTTCTAACACTGATAGACTAGATGTATATTGAGGTAGATTCTACTATAACAATTATAATGTGGAAAATTTTATTCCTTGTAGATTGTCGACGCCCATGTTTATAGGTGTAAAAATAAAATTATATGATTTAAATTCAAGTTCTAGCATTTATGTATGTTTTATATTTTTTAATTTTCAATAAATTCGACTATCTTCTCGAATTTTTTTGTTTTTAACTTTACATTTTTCAACTTTTTAGTAATGTTAAATTAATGCTATTTTTATATTCAATTTTGATTTAAATGCTATTATTCTAATAATCTAATTGCATTTGAAGTCTATTAATTTAAGAGTAATTGAAAATTTAAGTTGTGTGGACAATTATTATATTTTCTTTTTAGCTGTTAGAATAACTTGCTAAAACTAGAACAATCTATATTAAACTAGTAATTTACTTTAAATCTTTCAAATACATATATTTTTTATACTTATTATTTCGCCATAAAACAAATGCTAATTGTTACAATTATGGCATATTAAAATACATTTATAATTCTAAGCAGGATTGTAAGGCTCGTAACATATTCTTGTAAGACTTGTAAGAATTTTTACATGTTTATATATCTTTATACAATATTTTTACAGACAGTTTCTTACTAGCCATAAAATTTACAAGAAATCGTAGATATTTACGAATAATCGTATGTCTTACGATACATATGCATAAAATTATAATACTAATCATAAGTTCTTACAAGTTTTACGAGTCTTACGATTCTGCTTAGAATTGACCCATTAACTTGTGAGTATATGTACAGGGTGTAATCTTGAAATTCGCAAATCAAAATATTACAGCAAAAAAATTTTCGAAATATAAGTGCGAAATATTAACACCTTCAGTGTTTAAACATAATTAAACGTAATCCGTCTAAACTTAATTTATAATTGGCCATATTTAAATCCTTATTATTTCACAAACTCTATTGCTTAAAAAAAATAAAAAATTACAAATAACTTTTTTACTCAATTTTTTGAAAACTCTTAATGTAGGACTTTAATTCGCTATTTCGGAACAACCTATACATATAAGTTTTATATTAGATATATGTATATATATTATATTGTTGCGTCCGCTTCGCACGATCGGCGGCGGCGTAACAATATATTACAAATGTATCTCAGATTTGTGATTAATCATATTAAATAATTATATTAAATTAAACATAGTATCATAATAACTTTATATTATAATGTAAATATTGGTTAAGAGAAAATTAAAATCAGCAGTTCTGCATTGATTTCAATGAATATTTTGAATATTAAAGTGCAAATCACGTTTATCTATCAAAGCAATGCACTGAGGTGGCGTGATTATTTTGCGTTCAAACGATGTATTGATCTTTGTAGGAAGAAACTGGTATGCAGAATATTTTATATTTCGTTCTATGGTAGGTTTCTGATTTGAAACATTGTTGAATTCAATCTCATAAAGAACAGGAACTGAAACATATAATTATTAATATTTTAGATATTTAAAATATATTTAATATTTGGAGACATACAAATATCGTTAAAATAATGTCAACAATATTTATATTAATTTTATATTTACATTTAATATTTATATTTCTATTAACTTTTTGAAGAAATTTTATTTCAAGGAAGAATTTGACAATAATTAATAATTGTTAAATATATCATATATATATATAAATTTTGATATATATATGTATATATATCAAAATAATATATAAAAAAAAAATAAATTTATTTTATAGAGCTCTCTCAATATTAGAAAATAAGAATTTAGATAGTAATATACACAAACGATGACCGTGTTATTAGCTCTCATTTGCCCGATTTTATTTTAAAAATTCAAATAATATCCAGATTTTATTCTAATATAATTTTCTTATTGATTAAAATTAGTTTTCTATAGAATAAAACAAATAATCGAAGTTTTCATTTATTTTTATGTACACATTGAGATTTCTGTTATTCTTAATTTTATTGATAAAATTAAAAATAACAGAAATCTTAATATGTGTACTTTTGCTATTTTTATTGTTATGGTAATTTAAACATTAATATTAGGGTAACTATCCCTATTAATGTGCCTTTTAGCCAACTTGCTTATTACTGAATTAATTATTAAATATTGTAGCTTTAATTTTATCTGCTTGCAATCAATATCGGTTTTTCAACTATTTCTTTTTCTTATAATACTTCTTTAATCTAAAAAATGTTAATACTTTATAATGTTTTTGATAAAAATAAAAAACATGTTTAGTGAGTCCTCCAAGCAGCGATGGCCCTATTAATGTGCCTCCAATTTGTGTGCCTATCCACATTTGACTCATTTTAACATATAGTTACTAAAATAGGTAATAAATTTAAGTTAATTGTTTAAGTTAATATTACATAAATCATTATTTCAATTATATATTTATTTCAATGTACACTCATAACACAACGTTCTCAGCTCCAATACAGGGCACATTAATAGGGACAAGCTTAAAATCTTGCAGTACGTATTACTGGATTCACATAAATTCCTCATATCTTTTGAAAAATATTTAAAATACTTTAATATTCAAAAAATAAAATATTATCTTCAATATCGTATGCATTAATAATTTAATTTAACAAGAAAAAAATATTTTTTCTTATTTATTCGTGCTAGTTTTCTTTATGACTTATCGAAATACAAAAGCACACTAATAGGGACAGGCACAGTAATTGCGACAGTTACCCTAGCAATGAAAGATAGAAATTATATAGTGTAAACCCGAAAAAAAAATTATTTATTCTCGAAAGTCCTTTATATCGATCACAAAAATAAAATTAATTTTTTTGAACAATTTAGACTCCTATTTTGTAACTCTCTTATCGACAATTATAATGTCATTGCACAACTTTTTTACCATATATAAAACCTTTGCAATAATAATGTAAAACGTTACTGTTATTAAGAGTAGGGCTTTAATATGATTTGATATAAGTAATCAAATTCAATTTTTATTGTACCTGTATCTTCTTGAGTGTTTCTTATTTGTTTTGGAGTATTATCTTTTGTTATAATTAATTTTTTTCCTTGATTGTGTTCCCGTCGATATTCTTGGGTAATTTGCTCCAAAGTTTCAGTTAGCGCCAACTTGCGAATTATAATAATTATAGTACCACACATATGCGTATGAATTATATTATCTACCAAGAAGTCAAAATATTTTTGAAAAAATCAAATAATAAATTAATATTAAATATTATATATATTAAGCAATATAGATCTATATCTGTTAACAAATATTATATTATACATTAAGCAATATAGATCTATATCTGTTAATAAATATTAATAATCAAATTTTCCGTTCTTCATTAGTTTACAATGTAAATCAAACTCAGAAGAAGTTGTATAAGCTTTCTTTTTTTTACACTATACAACGAATGAAAATATCATAACTCGCGTTTGACAAATGTACCTGACACAGTTTTAAGCGAGATACGTGATTTGTTTCCGATCGCGGACTCTCTTCCTCATTTTTCGCGGTTTCATGTTGCGAGCACCGGGTTTTCCTACCGGTTTTCCGGCACACCTTGGATAACATGTCGATGCGGTCGGCTCGGAAGTTGTCGTGCAGGAACTCGTGCACGTGTGGGTTGCAAGAGTTGCAGGCTGGGTCGCGGCCGTGGTAAGTGACTTTGCGGAAACCATAGAGATTCAGTTGCCTGATGAAGCTAGTGATATTGCTCGTCTTGAAGATGGGCCGGCGCGTATCCAAGTATTCCGTCTGGAATCTTTTATAATCGAGCAGTATGGTGTCACCGTTCGCACCCCAACGGATTGCTCCAGTCTCGCACTCGTTCACTATCCGCCAGAGCTTTTGCGGAAATCGCATTGACTGCAGCACGCAATCCTCGTACATCCTTGTAGTTGTCACTGAGTATGGTTGATCGAACGAATGGCCGCGCGTGAATCGAAAACAACGCGTTTCGAACGTTTCTCGTTCCGTCCGTGCCTTGTCTTGTTCTTCCTCCGAGACCATCTTCGAAACAAATGACTGTCGTATCACGGCAACAACAATCAAGGCAATCCATGCAAAATTGGCACATCGCTGATCAAAAACTGATCTGTTTTATATCCAGATCGTGATTCTGATTCGAATATCAAGCTACGGTCCCCATTCTTGAAAAGTATCGCATACAAAAAACTAGGGAAATGCTATAGTATGTATATGTAACGCATACTATAGTATTTCCTTAGTTTTTCGTATGCGATATTTTTCGAGAATAGAGGTACTGTGGTCCCAAAAAATCTTTTTCCATGTTTCCTCGTCGTTCTTTTCTATTCACTTCAACTCAAAGAGATTAATTTATTCTACGTTCACTGCAGTTAGCTCTTGTTAATAATTGATTGTATATATATATATATACATTTACATATTATACACACATACATACACACATATCCATATAATAGATATAATCGCGCGACTATTTTCACATTAATAATGAAGCAAATTTGAATATATGTATCGCACTCCTTCAGAAAAGTGACAACTAAAAAATATGAAATTCAGAAGAGAGGAAAAGAAAATTTTAAAACGTATTTTAAAATTAATTATTTATTACAAAATTAAATATAAGTTAATTTAAAGCTCATCACAAATTGCTAATTATTTTAAATTTGTTAGAAATATAATGTAGATATTAATTTTGTTATGGTATTCAGAAATTATTTCTATTTTGGTTTGTCATTTTTCCCTGTTGTGTTTTTTTAAAATGTGTTTTTTTTTGTGTATTTTTTTCAATTTGTATCACTTCTTGATTGAAAGCTAACGTATTTAAAACATAATCAGTACCATAAACATATATAGCTTAGGGAGGCGGGAAGATGTAGCCCTCTCCTAAATCTTAAAAAACAAAAATAAAATTAAAAACTTAAACGGACTATGCTTAATGAGTATTTACAAGAAAAAAATTAGTTTTAGAAAAGAAGAAAGAATTGGAGATGAAAGTTGTAGAAAGATATTCTGAGAATCTAAGACAACTAATGTTATAAATTTAAGTTTTTTAGTTTGAAGAATCAGTTTACAATGTGTTAAGGGAAAAATATATATTTTAACTCATAAAATAGCTTATATATTTATTATATTTATATTATCCTTAATAATATCTATCTTAGGTTTATAACATATCCTAAAATCTATAAGGTATTTACTAAGAGGATTATAATAGGGATTATAATACGGGACCTATCCTATCCTAGGTCTATCCTAGGTTTATTAATAATACCTTATTTATATAGTAAATTAGTGAACTAAACATGTGATTTTGCGATTTACCTATCAGTAATTAATTAAAAATAATATAAAACAAAACTAGTCCAATATTCTATAATATTGGATTATCTTACGCCTCTCTCCGGGTTAAAAAATCTCAATTCTCATTTGATCCCCCTTCTAAATAAAATCCTGGCTACGTCCATGATCCGCATATAATACAGAATTTGAGTCGATGTATGTCACTTTCCTTGCGAGGATGCAATATATACCATTCCAAGATATAAATTGACGTTATTTGTCATCATTTTGACGTCAAAGATGTCATTTTGATATCAAAATAATGACAAATAACGTCAATTTGCTTGCTGGGATATATTGAAAAAATATTTAACGCGTTGTGTATAAAGTGTTCTTTGCTAATTGAATATATCTATTGTGACGTGATGTTTATACCGTCCGTCACAAGGGTCGTTTGACCTGACCAGCATTCTTGTCCTGTGTCTACCTGTCGCGGAGGCATTCTTGTCCTGTGTCTTCCCGTCGCGGAGGGCGGGCGTGCCAGAGCTTATCACGACTTTTCGGGCGACTTTTGCGATTGCGTTTTGCCAACTATTATTTCTTTTTGTTAAGCGTTTCTTTAGAATTTTGTATAGTCAGCGGCTACAAACCTGTTACGATGAAGCTGCGTCTCACCATCCCCAGCGGACGTCGAGAGAGAAGACCGGGGACACATCCGCGGAGAGGTGAGACCACCGCCGGAAGGGAGGACGCGCAGGTGAAACCGCTTTACTTTTAACGTAAAATTCTGTTGCGAGCGTGATCCTCTTGCCGGATTCTTTGTAGAAAAATTGCTCCAAAGGAGAAAGAGACATGCGGCATGAAGGGGAGGCGCCACCCCTTGCCTCCCACCGCGCATAGGAACCCGGCTGTCGGTGCCGCGAGGAGGACCCTGCAGGACGACGACTCCCCGCCACGGAAAAGGGAACTGTACGGCGGAGGATTGTTACTGCCCTTGCATCCGGAAGGCCCTTGGGTTCGGATGAAACAGAGGAAGGCCCTGCGAGCAGCCACCATAGATGCCCGCCATCAGTCACATCCCGCGTGCCGAATTCAGGGCGCGCGACGCGACAGCGATTCGCAAGGGCGCACGAGATCCGCGAGAGGGCTCGCAACCAATCAAGAACGATAAGGCTCATAATCATGTGGGTCTGCGATACCTGTGCGCAAAGACATAGAGAATGGACTGCGCGATCCGTGTGTCAAAATGGTCGATAGGGAAGAGAGAGAGGGACCGTGGCAGACAGCCATTTCTATCTCTTTCCATTCAATGGTATAATGGGAGAGAGAATGAGAGGGAGTTGGCCGTCTCCCACGCTCCCTCTCTCTCATTATTGTCGACCACATTTGATACATTACATAGGCCGGTATTCATAGTCGGATCTTATATTTAAGACCGTCTTAAGTACAGTCTTAAGATGTCATGAACCAATCAGAAGGCCGCATTAGCGACTTAAGACATTACTTAAGACGGTCTTAAAATAAGAACCGACTACGAATACCGGCCTTAGATACGGATCGCGCAGTTCATTCTCTATGTCTTTGTCTCCCGGAAGGACCCTGGCACTTGTGCTGTGGCGAGCGATTAGAAAAGACGTACGCGAGGACACAGGATTGCCGTGGAATACCGCCATTAAAGCAGAGAGAGAGAGAGAGAGAGAGAGAGAGAGAGAGAGAGAGAGAGAGAGAGAGAGAGAGAGCCGCAAAGGGAGGATCCTGTGGTGAGACGAGTGCAGCGTATGGTAAAGCCGCCGATTTCCCGACCGGGAGGAATCGCACGAATCCGCGAAAGATTAATTTCGAAAGTATTAGTTTCGTTGAGATTGTTGCGAGGGGCTGCATAGCAGGCGCGCAGCGCGTGCCATCCCGCCCGATACCGTTCGAACCACGTGGACTTCAAGTGAGTTTTCTACACGCCCGCCACGGCCACAGTCAGGTCATTTCGTTCGTATTGTTGAATAGTGTTTCATATCGCGCTTGAGTGCGCAAAATTGCGCTAGATTTCGGATAGTATTCTTGCGTTTTTGTATGGTATTGTTCATCGTGCTGTTGTATTGCGTTGTATTGTTCCGAGAGTGTGAGATTCCAGATAATATTCGTGTACGCGCTGTAATTCCGTCCTTCTCGGATGGGACAGATATCTTCTTCATCATAGGTCGAGCTCGAAGTTGGAATTGTGCACGCGTTAGACACGGCCAAGCGCTCTGCGATTCCCGCGGCCCGGTTATTTTCCATCGTTACATCTACGATTCGTCGAGTAATTGAAAAGTTTAGAGCTCCGTCGAGATAAGAATTCTCGCATTTAATACCGCGAGTCGAGAACGCCGCTTACGAGGGCAATTCCGCCCCTCCCCCCTCCTTAACGCCTTCCTGACTGCATGAGCGACTAGTTAACATCTACCGTGTACGGCACCGTGTAAAGGAGTGACCGAATATATTTGTTATCTATTTCTATTACAAAATTTGCCTATTTCATTGTGTATCGCCCTATTCGTTTTCCAAGGCATCCTCCGTTCCTGGTCACGAACCACCCCCTCTACCAATCTCGTGCCGAACAGTCGGCCGAACAGTTGGCCAAACAGTCGGTTTATTCGGATCGTCTGGCGTTCGTATTCGTGATCTTGTCGAGATTTTTGTGATTCAAGGAAATTCTGCGAGTTAATTTCGCGAAAGAGTGTCACGCTCTCTCGTGCCTGGCGCTCAAAAATTCGGTGTTGAGAGTACGGATAATCGGAGATTGTAAAATTAACTGATATTACTGATTCTGAGTGGAGAGTGAAGACTCGAGAAATTCTAAAGAATTACGATCTCGAATGTGCGACGAAGATTTTACATTACGCTCGTGAGTACGGCACTATATAATTTCTTCGCGTTTGCTGTAAATTCTTTTATGAATTGTGAGTTGAACGAAGAAGGAAAAGAAGAATGAAATTAATTGTGTGGGGGGCAATAAGTTTTTTTTAATAAAAATTGATTACAATATTATTATTTTATTTTACACGTATTTAGTTATACTTTGGAAATAATATTATAAACTACACCAAGAATATATTTTTTTTATTTACATTTCTTAACTTAATAACATTATAAATTTCATAAAGATAAATATATGAAATGACAATATTAAAAATTTTGTAAATATTATGCTCTAATAAATGTAATATGATTTATAGAAATTGATTCCATCTGTTTCATCTTAACGGCGGTTATTTATTACTTTATTCTGCTTATATTTCTAATGTTACATATCTAATATTATTATCTTTATTATCTTTAATACGTTTCTACTACACTAAAAAACGTTAATAAAAGAGTTCTAATATAAAAATGGTATTAATACTCGTAGACGTGCATTCGAAAGCTTTGATATTTCAAACTTTCCTTCATTCCTTATATAACACATAGTTTACATTTTTTTATATTTATGGTAATCAAGAGACACGGTAGTGTCTCGCGCCAAGTGAGCGCGCAGCGCGAGACCGCCTCGTGTCTTTACGCGAGTCAGCGAGATGCGAGCATCCGAAATTATTGATTTTTAATTATTACGAAAATCCGTAATGTAATTATTCATTTGGATGATAGATTGAAGCTTTATTTATCAATTGATTAATATTTATAAATTGATTAAGATTGTTTGATTAAAAACAGAATGTAAAATTAATTTTACATCCTAATTTAATATTTTGATTGAATTGTGATATAATATTATAAATACTAAATAGATATTGATCTAAACTTTTATTGTAAAAATTGTTATCTGACAAGAGTTATCTCATATTAAATTACATCAAGTACGTAACATTTTTTTATCAATTCGAGATCAATTTTTTCTTAATAAAAATTCCGAAAATATTAAATAAAATAATTGACTAAAAACTTAATAGAAAGAATTTTAATTACAAAATATTTAATTACATAATATTTAATTACAAAAATATATAATATTACAATATATATTGAAACTTGAGAAGCTGCAGAAACCGATTGCAAACTTGTCGAAGCATCTGCCATAAAATTTGATGCATCTATATATACCTATAGATGCCTGACAACTTTTTATCTACTAAGCTGCTATTTCGTTAGATAATAATGACAAGATATATTCGTGCTTTATACTGTTCAGTTGTCACTTCAATAATATAATAAGCTGTGCACTTCACAAACGGTATATTATTAACTTTAGGCCTTTATTAGTAGACTGCGGAACTTTATGCAAAATACTTAACTGAATATTAACTATCGGACAGTTTTAGCAGTCAATCGTTGTTCGTTAAAGAGTTATTAAAAGGTGAATTAAAAAGATTGAGATTGCTATCTGTAAATTTACAAAATTACAAAATATGCATTTAATGCAAAACATTCAGTTAAGTATTTTGCATAAACTTCCGCAGTCTATTTATTAGTTTGTAACTCTTAACTATAGTGTCGATGTCGTTATATTGTATACTTTTTACCATGTTTAAAATTTGCGCAACGACAGTGTAACGACATCAACACTGTCATGTGTCAATGTTAAAGGCCGCAGCACACACTCTTGCATAACGCATAATGCATAGTGCATAAAGGAATCAACCAATCAAAATTCTTCTTTTTCATGGAACAAGAGGAAAGGAAAGACTCTGATTAGTTGATTCGCTTATGCACTATGCGTTATGCAAAAGTGTGTGCTGCGGCCTTAAGAGTTTCAGAGACCTTAGTTTTCGTTACTTTGTAGGGATTCTATAGGCTTCATATTTCTTATCGGTTTATTTTTCACGCACATCAAATTTGTATCACGCTTTACTCGCACGAAATAATTTTGAAAGTTGAAGTTTCAATATTTCTTTTACTGTCACAAATATATCAATCGGACACAGCTGGAAGGGCCTGCAGATACTCGCGAGGGATCGCAGGAGCCGGAAGCAAATAGCCATCCGGATCCAAAACGGCCGGGGTCCGTAGCAGCACTGGACCTTGCGGCGGTCTGGGCAGCGTTCCTTGCCGGGTCAATTCGTTTTGTGCTTTTTCCAGCTTCTCCAGAATATCGGGAAACTTGATTCGTTCCCGCGGTTCGATCTTCCAACAATCGTGCATTATTTGGCAAACGATGGACGGACACTCGTCTGGTGGAATAAGCATCGTCCCTTGAAGTATGAGTTTTACGACCTGGAACAATCGTTGAGGAATACGTACGATCTCCATTTAATAGAACTGATAAACTGAAAAAGAAATTTTAGAGTATTCTTTACATAGTCTAACCTCTTCGTTACTGAATCCGTAGTACGGCTGCTTTCCAAATGAGTAAACTTCCCAAAGAACTACACCAAAACTCCATACATCGGTCTCTAACGTGAACCTGCCATATACTACACTTTCCGGCGACATCCAACGTACTGGCAGCAAACGTGATCCTCCAATCTGAAAAGGATGTTAATTATAATGTTTATATAATTTAGTAGTAGTAATGGGGAGATGAGTGGAACCATATCAGTCCCTATATATCTGAATCAAGTCAAAGAGTCATCTAAATCTAAATTAGCATATATAGTTCCTTTGTGACTCTTGCTAAGTTAGTATGGATTATAAAATGTTCCGTACATACGGAATGTGAGATTTGAATTCGTGACCTGTCGGTTACGTCGCTCTCATATATTTCTCTTTATTATATAATTATATAATTAAAATTTATAATAATTTTCCGTTAATAACATCCGTGTCAAAGAAATGGAGAAGACATAAAACTATGTAGAAAATTTCAAAATTTTCTGAAGAGTCCTTGCCCAGCTAATATGCATGTGCAAGAGACATCATAAAAACATTATAAAAACATAATAAAGACATCTTTAAGACATTATACATATTTAAAAGATATCTAAAAGACATTAAAAATAAAGACGTCTTCTAGCGCACGCACGCACGCACGCACACACACATACACACCAGTGCGTGTTGTCGAGATATATTATTGTTACAAATTTATTTTTAACAATGCTAAGATTTTATTTCGCCAGGAAATTAAATACTAAGTATAAGCATATTCGGGCCTATGACAGTCAAAGCTAAATCTCTTTTGCCTAAATAATTCCCAGTGAATTATCTATATCCTGTATATGTACATGCATATGTATATATCATATTTTTGTAGTTATTCAAACTGCGCGCCGAAATTTTTTCGAACTTTATTTAACGCAATTAAACTACTGCAATAATATCACAAGTTAAATTAAATTGACAATGTGCTGAAAACCTTAAATAAACTTATTTTTAACCCTCCGTGAACCAAGTGGAGTGTGACATACTCCAGCAAGATGAATTTCTATAACTTTTTAAAAAGTACCGCGCGTATGTTACCAGTTTCGAGCAACTAGAGAGTGCGTTGTTACCAATCATACTAAATTATAGTATATTTATGATGAAGTACAGCATGGGGCATGAGATATATGTATATTCAGATATAATTTATATTGATTTTCCACCTAGTTCATAGAGAGTTAAAAATTTTACCTTGTAATAGTCGCAAGTGTAAATATCTCGTGACATGCCGAAATCAGCGATTTTCACTATTAAGCCTGAGCCCACCAGACAGTTTCGACACGCTAAATCACGATGCACGAATCTTTGCGCCGACAGGTACGTCATGCCGGTCGCAATTTGAATCGATATCCAGTGTAGCGAGTCCTATAAACAATGACACGTCATCGTCAAATTATTTCTACCGCGATAAAAAATTTCACTAGAATTGCATTGCAATAATATATCACGTAATGATGAATTTCAGATAGAAAAAAAAACATTGAAATATCACACTCCAATTCGCGTGCACAGTGAATCATAATTCAAGATATGATAAGAATTGCTCTGACAACTTGCGATTAAAGGCGGAGCTTCCACATAAATTCACTAACGTCATTGCACAATTTCCTCAACTAATTATCATTATAATTCTTCAATTAATTACAAAGGTATTGTGACACTATACCTTCGTTAATGGCTGTAATTCAGGTTTCGACGATCTTAATTGTGAGGAATTTGTCCGTAGTACTTCGGCGAGGTCACCATACGGCATATATTCGAATACCATCCACGGATTATTTGTCGCATCTCGAAGTACCATGCCCTTTAAGGACAAAATGTTCGTATGGCCGAACGTAGACATGATGTCTACTTCGCGCATAAAGTCCTGCTCGGTTTCGGGCGTGGCAGTATCTTTTAGAACTTTTATAGCCACAATCTCCTTCGTGTCTCCATTGTGCCACTCGCCTGTGAAATTTTTATATTATGAAAGATCTAGCACTATCTAGCGATAACTCTATATGAAGCCAGTCCTATGAAAAACTAGTATATTAAAAAATAATAAAAGAAATTTATTTTTCGACATTATAACTCCCTAATCTCATTAAATTGATTAGAAGAATTGACTTAAAGAATTGATAAATTTTTTTATTTTATTTTGTTTCCACTTACATTGTATACTCAAAATTTTACCTTTGTAAACTTTTCCAAAGCACCCTTCGCCGATGTCGTGAAGAAATATAAGACTTTCACGTTGTATTATCGGAACCCCCGGAGGCGTGCAGGTAAAATATTGAGGATTAGACGTGTACTTATGCGCTAATAATAAGTCTTTCTTCAGATTTATTGGAGTTCCCTGATAAAATATGACGAGCAAAATAATTATTAAGAATAATTAAAAATTTGCAGATATTAAAAATATCCGTGGGATGCACAATTAATGAAAGAATGTAAATATTGAAACAGTGGAAAAATGTCTTTGAAATAAATTTACTGTGTGTGTTGAAATATAGATTATAAATTATTTATAAAAAGGAAATTTTAGATCCAGATTAGAAGAACACATAAAAAACATAGTGGAAATGTGTGAATATATATCATTGTTTATGCATCTTAGGATGGCATTGTTTCAAGAAAAGTTATGTACTTACATCTAAAGAACTTCTTTGCGATTTGATGTTGTAACTCCGTCTTCTTACGCCATATACAATGCTTAATAAGAGCACAATTACCGCGACGAAAGCTACAACTACTCCTATGATTTCAGGTACTTTGTATTTCAATCCCACTACCTGTCACATTGATTTTGAATAATTTATTATACTAGTAAACAGACAGTAGCGTTTATTGCAGATATTTAAATATATATAAAACTTCAATTTTAGTGGATATAATGTACCTGTTTAGCTTCCGGAAGTACATTCGTGCTATTTGTGCTGTTGTTGCCGCTTGGAGGTATTATGTTATATATAGGACGAGGCGTTAAAGGAACTAAAATATTGTTATCATATTACATTAGGTCACATTAATCTTAATACCGCATTTATAATAATACGGTTTTATCTTTATTTATAATTTTTGGAGTCGATTTTGGAATCGGTTTGTATTCATTGTCATCTCTAATTTCTTCACCTCTAAATAACTTTATTCATGAGGTATCTCCCAGATTACAATGTAGATATTTCATGGATAAAATTATCCGCACTTATTTAGAAAAGAAATTGAACATTAGTCATGCCCTCTTAATCTTTCAATTGTCAAGTAAATCATTGTGGTAAACTATTTTTACGTTTATTTTTATATTTAAAATTGCTCATCTTCTGTAGTAAAACTTTTGTGAAAGAGTAGAGTAGCTTTACCGATTAGACGATTTGGACATCTTAAATCTGATGTCGGTAACGATAAGTCATGAGGACACACACATTTCGATGTGTTGTCCGCGAAGCTACGGCAGGCCGCTTCCTTTCCACAAATCCATGGATTATCCCTGCATGCTTTGATCTGGAAGTTTCCTAGCAAAAAAAATTTTAATGAATAACTACAAAAATAGCAGTTTTGTAGAAATTTTTATTTTCTTGTAAATTTTTTTATATATTCGCAAAAATATTTATATTTTTTGTAGAAAAATCTACGCAATAATAAAATAAATTACAATTTTCTAAAATTAAGAAAATAATAAAAGTAATATTTCACGAAAATGTACAATTTTTTAAAAAATAGTACAAAAATCTATAAATTTTAAAAATTGGAAAATTTGAGACCAATTGCACTATATCTGACTGATGTTGATTGGATGCGCTTAGTGATAAATCTGCAATAAAATCATTTTTCTCTACATCTTGTGCTCCCCTTCAATGATGGCTTAGTAAATATTTTCGGAAGCTTAAAGCTATAGTCCAGTCGTCAGAGATCTGACATCTAAAAATGATCCGACCTGGCTGAAATTTTGTGTGAATGTACATTAGTAGTCCCCAAAAAAGATGCAAAA